TCAGGCAGGCGGCCTAACTTGAGCCGTGTGACCGGAAGGGCCTGAAGGACGCCGGCCGCAGCCAGACGGTGGAGGCGTCGCGCCTGCCCGACAACCGCGCCAAGAACCGCTACAACAACATCCTGCCTTGTGCGTTCACTCGGCGTCGGCCGCCCCCCGCCGCCCGCCCTCGCCCTCCGCCGCCTCTGTAACGCCGCCGTGCTTTTCTAGACGATTCCACGCGCGTCAAGCTGTCGTGTCTGGACGACGACTTGTGCTCCGACTATATCAACGCCAGCTACGTTCCCGTAGGAGCGCGCCTGCGCCCGCGCTGCGTTTTTGGCCGTGGCCCGTTTATGAGGCCCGTGACCCGCCCCCTGCGTGCGTTGCGTTGCAGGGTTACAACTTCCGCCGTGAGTACGTGGCCACGCAGGGCCCGCTGCCCGCCACTAAGGACGACTTCTGGAGGATGCTGTGGGAGCACGGCGTGCGCGTCGTCGTCATGGTCACGCAGTGTGTGGAGAAGGGGCGGGTACGTGGCGCTGCCGGTGATATGATGATGATGATGATGATGATGATGTGGTGGTCACGCTGTTCCGCTCCCACGCCGATGCCGTTGCCGGCGCGGGCAGGTGAAGTGCGAGCAGTACTGGCCTCGTCACAAGGAGGAGGCGGCCTACCACGGCGAGCTGCTGGTCCGGATGACGTCCGAGTCGGCTCTTCCCGAGTGGACCGTCCGCGACTTCCGGATTTCCTCGGTGAGTCGCCGGACGAGGGTCCGTCGCCGCGTGAGGGTCCGTCGGTCGCGAACGGTCACGACTCGTCCCTCTGGCAGGAGTGCGTCCGCCACTTCCACTTCACCGCGTGGCCCGACCACGGCGTCCCCGACGGCACGCGCTCCCTCGTGCGCTTCGTCAGGACCGTCCGAGACTTCGCGGACCGCGCGCCCGCCGCCGGCCCCACCGTCGTCCACTGCAGGTTTGCCGGCGCGCATCGTTCGCCGACTCCGAAGCCCCACGCGTACCGACTTGACGTTTGGGGCCGAGGCTCGAGGGCCGGGCGGGCGTCCGTTCACATTTCCAAAAGGGATTCCGCTCTATTCGCGGTTTTGCTTGCGTCGGGAAGACGTCCTCGGAAGAAGCAAACTCGTCGCTCTCGCTCGGTGGCTCGGTAAAGACCCGAATGTTGAAGAATTGAAGCCGATGCAGCTCCGCGAATCGTGTCTGATGTTCTTCTGGGTGACCCGCCCCAAAACAAATCGATTCTCAAACGCAGGGCAGGCGTCATCAAAACTGCTGGTCCACGAAAGCCCAAGCAAGGCTCATGACACTTTGCATCACATTCATCGCGATTCCGAACGTTGGGGGGGCCGTTCTCGATACGACACGCAGGAAGAGTGGGTTGTCCCGCTACTACCTGGGGGTTTCTTCTTTTTTTTCCTTTTTGTGCCGGCGCACGCGCGCACGCGCGCACGCGTTCTTCTGGCCGTCAATGAGAAGATGGCATTCAAGGTCCTTCGTTTGCCGCGGGTTCCGCTTCGAGTTGTGGCTTTCGGAGTCCGTCCGGGTACGATGAGAAGGAAAATGGCTGCGGTGCGGTCAGCTCTCGCACGTTTGTGTTTAGCGCCGGCGTGGGCCGCACGGGGACCTTCATCGCGCTGGACCGCCTGCTGCAGCAGCTGGACGCCAAAGGCGCCGTGGACGTGTACGGCTGCGTGTTTGACCTGCGCCTCCACCGCCAGCACATGGTCCAGACCGAGGTGAGCCGGCGAGCCCGCGCGCCGCCACGGCTTCCCCTCGATGCGCTGATGTCGCTTCCTCTTGCAGTCTCAGTACGCCTTCCTGCATCAGTGCGTGCGCGACGTCCTGAGAGCGCGCAAACATCGCGGCGACCACGCCATCTACGAAAACTTCGACCCGGACTTGTACCGCGGTGAGAACCGGCCTCGTCGTGTGACGGTGCGCGCCATCATCCTCCTCTCCTCTCCTCTCCTCTCCTTCCGCGTGCAACATGACCTCTTTGGCGTCTTCCCTCCATGACATCACGCCGTCATACCACAACATCACCTCGCTGCGGCGTCACATCTTCGAGCATCCGCCGTTTTAATATCACCGAGACGCGTCAGTCACGACCGGATCGGCTCCCGACGCGCCGAACTCACGCCGTCTTGTCGCGTTTGCTTTCAGACCTGATCCACTCGAGCCGTTGATGGAAGGAGACGTCGTTGCGGGGACCGGACGCCGTGTTGCGATAATGAGAAAGGAAAGAGAGTGCGTTTCCTTTTATGTTCGACTTCACGGCCACATTTAAAGCGACAATATTACCGAATGGAAATATGACGAATAATCAACACCGGGAAGTTTTGACAGTACGTTTTCCCGTCAGCATAAGCTAAAAAGAACACTTTTGTTTTTATGATGTATGATTTCAGTTTTACCTGAGCCACGAGATGAAGAAAATGTATGTCCTGTAAAACAAACAAACAAAAAAAAAAACACCTGGAGTCGTGTCACTACTTCAATCCAGTTTGACCTTAAAGTTGTTTGACTCGAGGACAGTCGTTTCATGCGCGTACGCATGCGATGCTCATTCAATGAAGCCAAGCTTTGTAGTTGACCTTCAAACGATGACAACTTGAGTCTTTATTTGAGACAATTTCAAAGATGAGTTTGTTCCCATGATTCAGGGACACTTGAAATCGTTGGGTCACTTCACATTGGGAGGGAAATGAGTTTCCATCTAGTGCGAAATGAATCAACACGGGGCAAAGCCTTTTTTTTTTTTTTTTCAATGTAATCCAAGAATGAATTTCTTTCAGTACATCGGTTGACATTTGGCAGCGAGCGGCTCCCGGGGAGGAAGGCGGAGCCAAACACAAAACAGGAAGTCACCTGAAACGACGCTAAGGCGACGTCAACAGTCGTTCGTCGTCGCGGCCAAAACAACGTAGCGCCGGCTTCACAATGGACGACGTGACGCTCGAGTGTCGTGTGAGACGGGCAAAGAAAAAAAAAACCGTCAAACAAACAGAAAACGTTGCCACGCGAGGCGGTTGGGGAAGTTTGAAGGCGACGCGTTGACTTCTCGCACACGTGTTGGGCCGGCGGAAAAGCGGGCGCTCTCTCGCGCGCATTCGCGCCGACTGGTTGTCGAGGAACACCCGACGTGGGTCCAAGTGCGGCGGCGCCGACGACGTGGACTCGGAGTCGACGGAGACGACGCGCGCGGAGGCGCCCTCGAAAGGTCTCGTCCGGACGCCGCGCCGGCTGAGGGAAGGCGACGGACGCCGCGATCGCCGTCGTGACCGCACCGGGTCCCCCGGAAGCTTTTGACCTGCAGGTAAGCGAGGCGAAGAGGGCGATGCCCTCCCGCTGCGTCTCGGACTCAAAACCCGAGCAGACACCCGTAGCCAATGTGACGCGCCGCAAGAACGTTGAAACCTTTTGACAAAGTGACAGCGACGAGTAGGGGCCGGTGGCACGCCGCGTCTCTCCTTCTATTTCGCTCGATTCCCGCGTACTCACTCGGCCTCTTGCGTGTTCAAGACACCGGCAAAATATGATGGGTGGACGTGAATAAACGTGTTCAAAAAATGGACTATTTTAGTCCAGCTGGATCTTTTTCTGCCGATCCAACGAGTAGCTCGTTCCCGATTAAAGGCTCGTTCATCGTCACATTGGTTTGCGCTCATCTTCCTCCTCGTCACGACGGCCGCTGGGTGTCTGCTTCAATTCATTTCATCTTTATTTGGACAGCACCTTAACAAACCAAAGGCATCTCAAAGTGCTTCACAGTAAAAATAAGTAACTACAGAAAGGAATTAAACCGGACAACAGACAGACGATTACAACTTTAACGATCAGAATATTTATTTGTTGCTATGAAAAAACAAAACAAAACTTGTTGCTATGAAAACACGAGCTGCCATTCTGAGTCGGGTCAGGTGAGGTTTTGTCATGGAAACCGGCAGAGTGCCCTGGAGGCTGTCTCCCCGGCAACCGGACTCGGAGGGCGCCCTCCTATGGAAGGTTTGAGTATTGCGGGGACATCCTCTCCTTTGCTTCCAAGACAAAAAGTTGACGTAACGTGCGCTCCGAGCCGCCTGGGTTCTACCCGTAGTACCGAAATGCCCATCTTTAGTTTCGCCTCACTTGTCGTTGTCCTCCTTCGGATGCAGAAATGTCTCCTCGTTTGAATCATTTTCGAATGTGCCAAATGGTCTTACTCATGAGGGAGGACCAAGAGCGGACGAGTACTTGCACCTTCACCTGAATATGCGGCATTTTATTTGATTTTTGGGGGAATCTTCAGGTTGAGGTCCACGTACTCGTCCACTCTTTGTCCTCGTCGGTAGAACAGCAGCAGCATGTAACGCGAGAGGGAAACTCGGCACCCGTGGACATTTGCATGCTACCAGGATACCAAGTGAAGAGCTCGATGGTATTGAGCTTTGTCACTTGCACTACTTGTTGCCCGAAATTGTCAACGAGAACGGTTTTGCATCACTCGGAGCATGTGCTTGTTCAAAGAGTGAGCCGACCGGGACAGGAAGTTCAATTTCCCAAAACAAAACTCCGGCGACTAGAAAACAATCCAGGTGAAGGTCTCCAACCACCGTGTCTTAATCACAGTTTTTCACGCCGCTCTCTGAAATTTGTACACGCGAGTAGGACAAGCGCATGTTACTAGTGAGGCCAAACTACACGCGGCCGCGTGGAGCACAAGCGGAGACGGTCTTTCGAGGACAAAGTGCGGACTCGTACACGTTGGGAGTTGAACTGGCTTTGGGCGCGCCGCTCGGCGGGCTTTCCGTGGACGTGTGCGCGATGTCTCCGAAGCACATGACATCTTGGTACTTACATTTGTCTTTTATTGTCAAAGGGTGCTACAAAGTCCATTCGCTGTTCCTGAGAGGCAGATGCCCCGTCGGGGGAGAGCAAGAGCCGCCGGTGGGATCAGGTAAGAAAATGCAAGTTCAAACGCAGGCGTCCCGTTTGCCAGACGGGCACTGGCAGGAACGGCGGGCCGGGGCGGGGCGGGCGGCCAATCAGAAGGCCTGCTGGGCGGGGTTGTAGTTGAAAGTGGAGGGAACGTGAGGTCGCTCTTCCAGTTTATCGTATTCCAGGTGGAACTCCTGATCGCGGGAGGGGCGGCGTTAGAGAGAGCGCCCGTGCGTGTATTTGCGCGAGGTCGTGCGCGCGCGTTACCTTGGCAACCTTCCTCCAGTTGAGGCAGTCAAAGAAGTAGTACGTTCCCCTCTCGTAGGCGTTTGTCTTGAGCGACGGCTCCATGCCGGGCGCCCGCGTGATCCACACGCGCTCCTCCTTGTGGTAACGCCAGTCCCTGTTGAAGCTAACGCACGCACGGTGACGCGCTCGGTACGGCGTGCGGAGCGCGTGCGCGCGCGCGTGTGTGCGGCTCTCACAGCTCCACGGCGGCCAGCAGCTGCAGCAGGTCGCCGCCGTTCATGTAGTAAAGGTAAAACAGGAGGTCCTCACCGTAGCGAGACAGCTTGATGGCGGCCAGCTGGACGGCAGCACAAAGTCAAGACGCGCGCGGGCAGGTGCGTGCGCGCGCACGCACGGGACCGTACCTTGTCCCGGATGTGGATGTTGGTCAAGTATTCCGACGGTACGTGAAAGTCTGCCAGGGAGAAAGGCAAACGACAAGCTCCAATGACCCGAAGCTCCCGCATTCACCTGTTCGCCCGGCCCCCGACTGACCGATGTCCTGCGGCCGACACGGCGCCGACGCCCACGGAGACGCAAACTTGGGGTAGAGGTTCCTGGAGGACGACAAGAGAAGATGAGCGGCGGCGGGAGCGGCAGGGCCGGACGCGTCGCTCGTGGTCGTACTCGGGAGAGTTGAGGTTGAGGCCCAGCGTGGTGAGGTCGGAGCCCAGAGCCAGGTGCACCATGCCGGGGTCCGTCTCGGCCGCCCGGATGAACGTCAGCAGGCCGATCATGCCGAACTGGTCCGTTACCATTCCCATCGGGATGTTGGTCACGCGCCCTGCCGCGCACGTGTCTCGCATGAGCGCGTGCCTTTTGTCGGATATCAATCGGGATGGATTGGATTGGATTGCGTGTGCGCCTCGGCTGCGCCTCTCACCGTCAGGGAGCACCTGGATTCCTTTCTTGTGCTGGTTGTTGCTGCTCGCCGACACACAACTTTTGTCACCCGGAAACTTTGGACCATCTGAGTTGGAGGCGGGCTTACCTGAAGAGCTGAGGTTCTGCGTGGCGGAGATGAGAGTCAGCTGCCAGGAAGTCGCGCGTCGCCGGACGCATCGCGCGCGCGTGTGCATGCGCGTCACCGTTTTGCCGTCGTCGCCGGTGCCGCTGGGGTCTTTGGTCTGGTAATTTGGGCCCGGCAGTGCTGGGAAATCCTCGTTGTGGATGGAGAAGTCTTGCGGCTGCTCACCGGACGGCTTGGTGACCATGCCCACTGCGGGGAGGGGCGCGGCGTCACGGGCGTCGCTCGTCAAAATGGCGCGGCGGCGCTCACTCACCGTAGGGCGCCCGCCCGGCCAGCGGGTTGAGCAGCGGCGCCGGGTTGGCGCCTCCGTCCCTGCGGCTGCGGTCGGCCAGGGCCGGGAAATCGGACAGGTCCAGGCCCGTCACGTTCTCGCTGCCGTCTGCCAAGGCCACGCGGGTCAGCATTGAAATCGCAGCGCTCGGCTCAAATCGCGCATTTGTCGTTGTCGCGGGGGGGGGAAAGGCAAAAGGTTTT